ATGAGGATTTTGACCAAAAATCTTGAAGTTTGACTGTATGGGGACCACAGTTGACTTTTTCCCTAGCACAGTCGATTTTCAATCCTTTGAGCAATTGACTGAGCAAACTTCCTCTGTAGGGCTTGAAACTTGACATGGATGATCTTGAGAATATATTAGGACAATGGTGAGCATTTGGGATCCCTTGGACTCAAGTATCTTGATGCAACATGAAACCCTAATTTGAGGTAGACTGCCTTAGGAGAGAGTTTGTCCGGTCAACTCTTGGACTTCCTTGGGTAAATTGAGGATCTCACTTGAAATGTTTTGAGAAATATGGGAGGGCAAATTTTGGGGTACAACACATGGTGCTCTTGAATTCTTCTATCATCTGAACATCACTGCCTAGAAAAATAAGGTCATCAACATATAGAGCAACAAGTAATACATTACTTCCATTTTTCTTCACATAGAGAGCATGTTCATAAGGATATTGCTCGAATCCATTCTCTTTGAAATATGTGTCAATGCGTGTGTTCCATGCCCGTGGTGCTTGCTTCAGCCCATATAGCGCTTTCTTCAATTTCAGCACCTTCTTCTCTTCTCCAATTCTCATATACCCAAGTGGTTGTTCGACATAGATTTATTCTTCAAGTACACCATTCAAAAATGTTGTCTTGACATCCATTTGAAATATTGGCCATTTGAATTGAGCAGCTTGAAAAATGAGCAATCGAATTGTCTCCATTCTTGCCACATGTGCAAACACTTCATCATAGTTAATTCATGCTTTCTGTTTATATCCCTTCGCAACAAGTCACGCTTTAAATCGTTCAATTTCTCCTTGAGCGTTCATCTTTTTCTTGAATACCCACTTTACACCAATGAGTTGACTACCTTTTGGCAATTCGACTAGCTCCCAAGTGTTGTTGTCGTCTATTGCTCTAATCTCTTCGTCCATGGCACTTTTCCACTTCTTATCTCGTAATGCTTCTTCGACACTGATGTTTTCAGCATCTTCCAGAAGGCACACAAGGTGTACCTCATTTGTCTAATCATATAAATCTTGTAAACTTCGCATTCTGGGTTGTAGAGGTTCATCTTCATCTTCAGTATCTTCATCTTCTGTTGAGATGCTTGTTGGTACAACTATAGATGATTCTTCGACTGCATCAATAACTTCTGTCGAATTGTTCCAGTCCCACTTGCTTGCTTCGTTTATTCGAACGTCTCTACTCACGATCACTTTCTTGCTTATGGGGTCGAATAGCTTGTACCCTTTTGTCTTCTCATCATATCCAATGAATATATACTTTTGACTTTTGTCTTCAAGTTTTATTCTTTGTTGATCTGGTACATGTGCATAAGATACACTACCAAATACTTTGAGATGAGAAATTGTTGGCTTCTGTCCGCTCCATGCTTCATGTGGTGTTTTATCTTCTAACTTCGAATGTGGATATCTATTTTGAACATAAATAGCATATTGTACAGCTTCTGCCTAGAATTCTTTCGACATGTTCTTGCTTTTAAGCATTGATCGAACCATATCAAGAATAGTTCGATTCTTTCTTTCAGCCACACTATTTTGCTGAGGTGAATGCGGTGCAGTTAGGAATCTCCTTATGCCCTGCTCTTCACAATACTTCATAAAGGTCGTCGAAGTGTACTCACCACCTCTGTCAGATCGAACTGCTTTGATATGTCTGTCTGTTGCCTTCTCCACCATTATTTTAAACTTTTTGAACACCTCTAATGCTTCATACTTTTCTTTCAAGAAATAAACCTAGGTCTTTCGTGAGAAATCGTCGATAAAGGAAATGAAGTACCTTTTTCCACTGAAGGATTCTGTAGTGATTGGCCCATATATGTCAGTATGAATCAATTCGAGAACATGTTTAGCTTGATATTATTCCTTCTTTTGAAATGAGGTTCTTGTTTATTTGCTGAGAACACATTCTTCACAAAACTTTCCTTCATAATCCATGTCTGGTAGTCCATATGTTCCTTTTTTCCAACCTTCTCAAACTAGCATGATGTAGATGACCAAAGCGCATATGCCATAGTGACTCTTTGTCTTGCATTTCGAATTGCAGACATTTCTCTTGAACGTTCCTCAAGTTCAGTTTGTACATTCGATTTCTTTCCATTTCGACACGGGAGATCAGATGTCCTACTTTGTCCTTCAAATGCAGTATTCGGTCTTTCATAAGTATTGAAACACCTTTTTCTGTAAGTTGTCCCAAACTCAAGATGTTGGTCTTGAGATCTGGCACATAGTAAACATCTTCGATTGATCCAATCAATTCATCATTCTTCAAGTAACTGATTGTTCCCTTTCCTTTGACCTTCACTTTCGATGCATCTCCGAAAGATACATTACCATCTTCAATTTTCTTCATTTCTTTAAACAGGTGTTTGTAACCACACATGTGGTTACTTGCTCCTGAGTCAAGATACCAAACATTTTCATTATTGGTGTTGATTTTGTTTTGAGCCATCAGGAGAAAACCTTCATTCGCTTCAGGTTCCAATGCTAGATTGGTTGTTTCTTCAATCTTATTTTCAATTCGACAATCTTTTGCAAGATATCCCACTTTATCACAGTTGTAACATTTGTAGGAGTTGCAATCCTTCGCATAATGATCATACTTCCCACACTTGTAGCATTCGAAGTTGGAGTGGTTCGATCGACCACCTCTTGACCACGTCCTCTGCCACGCCAATTTTGTTGGTTCGATTGTCCTCTTTCGAAGTTGCTGCTTCGACCACTTCGACCATTGTCACGGATTCCACTGCCACGTCCTCTTCCTCTGAAATTTTGAGAAAAGAGTACCTTTTTGTCTTTGTCCGACTCCTTGGTTTGATTTGCTTCTTCGACTGCTTCTTCCTTCTTTTTCATCTTTTGTTGTTCATGTGCTTCGAGAGAACCAGCGAGCTCTTCGATTGAGAGCATCGAAAGATCCTTCGACTCTTCTATTGCACATACAATATTCTCAAATTTATCTGTTAAAGATCTCAAGATCTTTTCAACAACTCGTGCATCAGTTATTGTTTCGCCATTTCTGGTGAGTTGGTTCACGACCTTTTGTACATGTGTGATGTAGTCAGATACAGTTTATGTCTCCTTCATCTGTATCCTCTCCAATTCGCCACGAAGATTTTGGAGTTGAATTTGCTTCACTCGATCTGCTCCTTCGAACACTTTTTTTAACGTGTCTCATACTTCTTTCGACGTAGTCGAACCAGCAATCTTTTCAAAGCTTGATTCATCTATAGCCCTGAATAACATGTATAGTTCTATTTTGTCCTTCGATCGCATCTCTTTCAGCGCCTTATTTTAAGCTGTCGTATATCCCCCAACATCTGTTGGTTCTTCAAACCCATCTCTGGTCACATCCCACACGTCTAGAGATCCAAGAAGAGTTTTCATTTGGATACTCCAGTTTTCATAATTTGACTTTGTTAGCCGTGGCAATGGCATTTGATTCATCATGTTTGCCATTTGCTCCGATGCCAATTTGTTAAATAAGGAGCAAATTTCTACTTCTTGTTTTTGTTAAAAATAAAATACAATCTTGGTCTTTATATAGACCCAAAAACTTCTATGATTCTAGGAAAGTAAATGCTATTAGTAAATACTATTATAACCCACTATCTCTTGACCTTCCTAATTACATTTGATTTTTAACCTTCCCGCTACCTTATTTAATAAAAAAACCTACTAACATTTAAAGTTTATTCGACATATCATATAACACAAAATTATTGGGACAATTTATACATTTATTTTAAAGTCTATGCCTAGTAGAGATGCAATTTCTATATACTCTCTATATCATGTTTCAAACCTTTGGTGGTGCTTGAATTTTCCAGATGAGGTACTAAGTTCCAGGACATATGAGAAAATCAGTATTAATAAGCTCATCAGTACATGATATGTAAGCACTTCTAACTGAATAATCTCTATTGATCTCAGTTTCCAAACATGTATGTATATACATGATATGTATTATATATTTTTCCAGCACTAACCAGATCAATGATTGTGTTTAGTGGAGTGTTCCATCTCTTTCTATTTGGAAGCAAGGGATTAGCCACACAAAGTTGATTATGAGAAATAAGTTGTGGAGGTGTTAGAATTAGAGTACATCCATCATTAGGCCATTTCTCGCTTAAAAACAAGTGTTAACATGTGTCTCATTGCAACACATGATGAAGAAAAGGATAGAAAAGACAAATAGAAATAAAAGTGAAGTGAAAAATTATTATTCAACTTAAAAAAAGATACAAGGAGAGACCAATATATATAGCAATAGGGTCCAATAGTCATGAGATAAAAAATTAAAGAAAAAAAAATAGGCTAAAAAATAGGCTTATACAGAAGAAAGAGAAAAAATATAAAATAATCTTTGGGTATTTTAACAAAACCCCTCAAACTGGAGTGTATATTAAGCAGGCCAAGTTTGGAAATAAGATTGGAGAAAGGACCAAGGTGTAGAGGTTCGTGAAACGTCTGCGACTTCCTGGTTAGAAGATATAGGTATGAGATGAATGGTTTGGTCTTGAATTTGTCTCTAACAATGTGGCAGTCCATTTCTATATGTTTTGTTCGTTTGTGAAAAGACGGGATTATTGGCAATGTGTATAGCTAAAGTGTTTTCGTAAAATATATTGACAGGTTGTGTGTGAAGGATGCTTAAGTCTTTGAGAAGCTAGAGAAGTCATTGAGCTTCACAAGTGGCATTGGCAAGAGCTTGACATTCCTCTTTGGAGGAGAAGCGAGAGACAACGGTTTGCTTTTTACTTGCAGATGAGGGAGTTGCTCAGGTAGAAGAAAAAACCTGTTGTAGACTTCTGAGTGTCTTGGCAGGAGCCCCAGCCTGAATCAGTGAAGCCAGATAGAACAGTGGACGAGTCTGCCTTGAAGAGAAAGCCTTGCCCAAGTGTATTTTTTATGTATCGTAGAATTCTGAAAGCGGCTTAATGATGTGTGGTGAATGGTTTTGCTAATAATTGGCTCAATCTGCACACAAAATAGCTAATATCAGGGCGTGCGTGAGTTAAATAGAGTAACTTAGCTATTAGGCTGCTAAAAGATGTAGGATCAGTCAACAAGTCATCATTAGAAGCAGATATTTTGTGAGAAGGATCCATAGGAGTGGTAGCAAGTTTAGTGCCTAACATGCCAGCAATATTAAGCAGATCAAGGTTATGTGTTGGTAAATAAAAATTCCTTCTTTAGATCGGGAAATTTCAAATCCAAGGAAGTATTCAATGTTACCCAAGTCCTTTGTGCTGAAAGTAATGTCCATGACCTTTTTAATGTGAGATATTTCTTGAATGTCTGAACCTGCAAGTAAGTTCAACGACATACACAAGTATCACAGTGAAATATATTAGCAGTTTTAGTAAATAGAGAGTAGTCAGCTTTAGACTGAGTGTAGCCTAGAGTGATAAGAGTGGAGATTAATTTAGAGTTCCATTGGCGGATATCTTGCTTAAGCCCATAAATGGATTTATTTAGCTTGCATACAAGGTTTTTTTAGTGGTTATGAGGCCAGGAGGAACCTTCATGTAGACTTCTTCTTATAAGTCTCCATGTAGGAAGGCAGTATTAATGTTAAGCTGTTGAATATGCCAACTCTTAGAGGTAGTAAGAGAGAGGATGAGTCTAATAGTTGTCATTTTGACAACAGGGCTGAAGGTTTCTAAGTAATCTACGCCTTCAGTTTCTGTAAATCCCTTGGCAACTAAGCAAGCTTTATATCTCTCAATGGTGCCATTAAAATGGAATTTGATCTTGAAGATCCATTTGCAGCCTATGGGTTTTTTGTTAGGGGGTAAAGGGACTAAATCCCAAGTTTTGGTGTTAGTAAGAGAGATTAATTCATTATTAATGGCTTGAAGCCAATTGGGATCAGTAATGGCCTTAGCATAGCTAGTGGGTTCTTCTAATGTAGATAATTTTACTGTAAAAAATCTACGGGGAGCAGAGATTTGATTATAAGAAAGAAAGTCGTGAAGGGGTAGAGAGAAGTACCTGTATAGTTGCTGAGTTTATGTGCAGAATTACCTGATATTAATGAGCAGTGATAGTCTCTCAGATAGTTTGAGGATTTTGAAACTCTTGTGGTTTTTCTGACTGTATCATTGTTAACAGGTCCAGGAAGGGGTTGTGGGGTAGGTGTAGGAAATTGAGATGGAGGAGTAGTAGGAGGGGTGATGTGAGGAGAATTATGGGATGTGGAAGGGGATGAATGTATGGTGTAGTCATAGTTAATATGAACGGGGCAGGGCGAAGATAAGTGTGTTGATTGGGATTGGTGTTGACAGTAGTAGAGGTGTTGGCATAAGTGAATAAATGTTCAAAAAAGGTGGTGTCTCTGAAGATAAATTTCTACTTAGAACTCAGATCAAAGAGAATATCCCCTTTGGTGTGATGTTTATGTCCTAAGAAAATACATTTTCTACTTCTACTATCATGTTTGGTGGTCTTATGTTTAGAAATCATAGCATAAACCAAGCAACCAAAAACTTTCAAATTATTGTAATTAGGAGATTTGCCATATAATATAGAATAAATAGTGTTGTATTTTAAAAATTCCGAAGGCATGATGTTTATTAAATATGTGGCATGTACAAGGGCATGAGCCCAAATTTTTTTTGAATGGTGTGCTTGAAAGAGAATAGATCTAATCACACATAGAAGTTGTTGATGCCTGCGTTCAACGATTACATTTTGTTGGGGAGTATCATCACAATAAGTTTAGTGTATAATGCCCTATTTTTGATTAAAAAAATCTTCTAGAAAGAATTCATGGCCATTATCACTCCTTATTATCTTGATAGTAGTGTGAAATTGAGTTTGAATGAAATGCACAAAAGACTTTACAAAAGCACTTGTTTCAGATTTTAATTTCATTAAAAATATCCAGCAAAAACGACTATGGTCATCAACAATGGTGAGAAAGTAACGGTATCCATTCATAGAGAGGGTAGAATATGGTCCCCAAATGTCTATATGAACCATATCAAAACAAGCAGTAGAGTAAGTATAACTATGGGGGAAGGGGAGGCGTTTTTGTTTAGCAGAAAAATAGGAGTCACAAGGAACAATATGTTGTTGAAAATTATCAAGAGGATGCATTTTATTTAAACAAATAGCAATGTCATTGGAGGGATGTCCAAGACGATGATTCCATAAATCACAATTGTTTATGTGCCTAGAACTATTACTAAGGTAAATATTAGGATTGGGGGCAGAAGCATAAGAAGGAAGACAAAGGAAGTAAAGGCCCTGATGAAGGTCAGCTGTACCAATCGTGTTCCGGGTAAGGTTCACCTGTATGGTGCAAGTAATAGAGGTGAAGTGAACATTACAATTTAAAGAGGAAGTGATTTTAGGGATAGAAATAATATTTGTGAAAAAATTAGGTATGTACAACACATGAGTGAGATATAGGTCAGTGGTGAAATAGATGGTACCACATTAATTTGTAGTAACACTGACCATTAGGGAGTTTCACAGAAATCATACGAATATTGAAAAGTTTGTTATGGAAAACATGATCCGTGGCACCTGTGTCTAAAATCCAACAATCATTGCTATTGAAAGAAGAAGGTGTAGGAAGAATACTTGTATTGGTGTTAACAGAAGAATGGAATTGTTGGATATGAGCAGAAGCATTCATTGGTGATTGTTAAAGAAAGGATAAAAGAGCTTTGTGTTGATCTGCAGTGAAGATAGGTTGAGTGTTGGATGTATCCTCCTTCAAATCGTGATTGTCAGTGGTTGCAGAAGCATTGTTGACTTGAGTTTTCTGGAGATATGAGGGAAGGCCTTGTTTCTTGAAGAAAAAATTCGACCGTGTGTCCAGATTTGTTGTAGAAGGTGCACATTTTCAAACCGTGCCTCAACCATACGCTTAACTCTTGTTGTTGGAAGCATTTCGAGAGTAACGTTGGTGAGGTTTGGCAAAATTTGCAACTAACTTGTCATCTTGAATAGGGGTAATCAGTTGCATTTCCTGTCAAATTAACATAGAAAAAACCTTGTTAATAGGTGGTAGAGGATTGATAAGCATGATCTGAGATGTGACAGGAGCGTATTGTTCATTTAAGCCCTTTAAGAAACGAATAACATATTTGTTTCACGGAAGGACTTGATGGTGGAGAGAAGCGGGCAAGAATATTTGATAGTGCAGATACACGTAGGGAGTGGCCGGAAATTGTTGAGTTCTTACCATAGCTTCTTGAGGTTGGTAAAGAATTGAGTGATGGTGAGGTCGCCTTGTTTGAGATTGAAGAGTTCCTCTTGAATGTCGGAGATTCAAAAGATATCTCCTTGGTGGTAGCGATCAAAAAGTTCAGTCCAAATTTCAGCGGCGGTGTCCATCCAAAGGATGCTTTGAGCGATGTCAGGTTCAACGGAATTTATCACCCCCGCCATGACCATGGTGTTGCACCGATCCCACGTAAGAGTGAGAGAATCTGATTCAGCAGGTCTTGGGAGAGTTCCATCAAGAAATCCAAGTTTGTTTTTGGAACGAAGAGCCACAACGATGGAGCGACTCTGAGAATGGTAGTTGAGGTTGTTAAGGGGTGGGGAAATGATGGCAACACCAAGGTTATCACTAGGATGCATAAAGTATGGATCCATCATATCTTTTTGGTAGTTATTGGAAGAGCAATGGTGTTTGTTTGTGTGGTTGTTGGTGTTGTTGTTCGCTGGAGGTAAAGATGGTGGATTTTCTTGATCGATCGCCATGGAAGAAAGAAACGAGAGAAAGAAAAGAAAGCGGAAGAAAGAAGATGATAACAAGGAGGGAGAAGAAAAGAAAAAGAGAGGGATAAGAGAAAGATAATTACATGTGGGAAGGGATAAGAAGAAAATATACAAAGAAGGGATAAGGTGAAAGAGGGAGGAACGCGTGAGAGAAGGAGATTAGAGGGTGGGAAGCGTGAAAAAACTATTCACTGATATCATGTTAACATGTGTCTCATTACAGCACATGATGAAGAAAAGGATAGAAAAGATAAACAAAAATGAAAGTGAAGTGAAAAATTATTATTCAACTTAAAAAAAAAAATACAAGGAGGGACCAATATATATAACAATAGGGTCCAACGGTCATGAGATAAAAAAGGAAAACAAAGACTAAAAAATAGGCTTATACATAAGAAAGAGAAAATATATAAAATAATCTTAGAGTATTTTAACCACAAAGATATTTGAACCATATCCTATGCACCATCTGATTCATTCTCTTAATATGAACTTTGCATTATAAATACTATGTCACACAAAACTAGAATTATGTCCCAATTTCGACGTAAAAAAATTGAAGTGCGGAAAGTAACGCACTTTGAATAAGCGCAAGATAGTATTATTCTAATATGTAAATATTCACCATCCTTATTTATCAAAAAGAGAAATATTAAAAGTATTGACATTTTTAAAACTCGTACCTCCTTAGTTTTTATTCATAGAGTTTGTCCTTTGAGAATCAATGTAGTCTCTTTGTTTGAGATTCAGAAGTATTCCACCAAAAAGAATTCAATATTTTCTCAATATCATCAATTAGAAAGGAATGTAACATAAAGATATTCGTGAAATAAGTTAGAATAGACTAGAGTAATTATTTGATGAGAACTTCTTTGTCCGCCTTTAAGAGACATTTGCTACTCTACAAATTAATCTTTTTCCAAATTATTTCCTTGATGAAACTAAAAATTTCCTTTTTGTTTCTGAGAATCATGGATGGAAGTCCCAAGTACTTACTTGTATCAAGGACCGTCTGAATACCAAGAACGTCACAAATGGAAGGGAAAAAAAATCACATTAGGTAGTATTACGACTACAAAAAATTTCATACTTTTTATAATTGATCTATTGACCAGAAGCTACCTCATGCATTTCAATAATATTTTCATGACTATTATCCATATAAAATAAAATATATTCATCTGCAAATAAAAGGTGAGAGATAATAATTGAATCGCGGCAAAATCTTGACTCCATTAATATACCATCTCACTTCATCTTTTTAATGTGTGATGAGAGCTCTTTTGCATAAATAATACAGATAAGGAGAAATGGGATCTCTTTGTCATAAGCCTCAGCCAGAAGTTGAAGGCTCCACAAGACTATCATTGATAAAAACAAAATAATTAATCGAATCAACACACAACATCATCCAAGAAATCCATTTACTTGAGAATCCTATTTTAGTCATCCTTGAACAAAGATAGTCCCACTCAATATGGTTATAAGCCTTACTAACATAAAGCTGTGGAGAAATATCACCAACTTTCCCTTTGGTTTTAGATTTCATGTAATGAATGATATCTATGGAGGCCATGGCATGATACATAATATATCTATCTAGTACAAAAGTTGGCAAATTAATAAATATGCAAATTAACATAATACTAAATATATCAAGTGTGAGTATGAGTCTCATATTGGATAGAAAAATGAATGTTTTAACACTTTATAAGTTAGAAGATCCATAGATCCAATGTCTTAAGGTTTTAGATTAATATTTTGTGTCTCTCTATAACTTGTGTGGTTGCTCGTAAGTCTGATGGGATGGTCCCCAGATTCTCTTATGACCCAATTACGGTATCAGAGCCTAGCTCGACTAGAGTTCCTTATATTGAAAATCTTTCAAAAAAAAACTTGCCTTTTAACATGGTCCAGTTTCTTCCTACATTTATCAATTTGTTTTTTTAGACATTAAAAGTGTTTTTTATTTCACCCATATAAATATTTAGTACAATTTCTCAATTTTTCCATAATATATTGTTGGCTATAAGAGATCCATCGATTACAAACAACATAATGAAGCTCAGAATTCATTAGCAAAGCATTTTCAAATTTAAATCTGGATTGTGCTCTAGTACTTGAGCTATAGAGGAGAATAGGGTAAATAATCATAGAAAGGCGCTGATGAAGTAACCAATGTGGAATTTGGAAATGTGTGAAACTGAAACCGGGTTTAAGAAGCTAGGGTCCTATCTAACTTTTCCTCCATTGTTTGTTAAGTGTCCAAACTCTTTGAACCAAGTAAATGAATAACCTTCCGTATGAATATTAATAAACCTGCATCAATAACAGTTGTTCTAAACCCGTTGATAAGGCACGAAGCTCGTTCATTTTTTCCTTTCTTCTCATTGTTTTCTAAGATGTTGTTAAAATCGTCCATGTCACAAATAGGAACACCTTATACCAGATCAAGTCCCGAAAGAAACCTCTCTTGAACCCGATCATGGCTGTTGACACAGAAATAATCTTTGGTTCAGGTGCCGTTGAGATATGCTGCAGTTTAGAAATTTATGTTTGATGCTCAACCAGTTCCATGAGAGCATTTGAACGTCGGACATTTGGTCAATAGAAACGACCTTGTTATTAAAATTGATGTTGTTCCTCGCTTGGATTTCTCGGAATTTACATATTCTAATATAACATTCTTGACATTTGCATTCAAGCGACATATATCATTACTGATTCAAATAACAATATTAATAAATAGTGTGACCTTTAATTAAAAGAAAATGAGTTTAATTATCTACATTGATTTTAATTTTGCTTCATTCATCTATGTTCTATTAAGTGTCAATTTCCGAGTATAAGAGATAATTTCCAAATTTAAGAGAAAAATGGACACCACAAAAAAAATTAGAGATACTCATTAGTGTGATCCATTTATTAAATTAGTATTAATTTATCTCATAAATAGAGGATAGAAAATATCAGACTCTTAAATTTCTCAATCATTCATTGCTAAATCATAAACAGTAGACGAACACATTTCTCTTGCACAAACTTAGATTGATAATCCATCTCCATCAAAATATTTTAGTTTAATGAACAAAGTGTAGTGAGAAATATTTCAGAATCATAATTTCATATTATACTCCATGGTCTAACACTGCTCCATCAATCAAAGTGCACATAACAATGGAATTACCAAATCGGCGGCATCAGATGTCATTTGCTAATCAATCATCCATGAATAACGTTTACATTGTAAAAATTGTTAATCTTGCCTCACTAATATTGGAAACAAGCTGTGATATCTAATATTAACTAATGCTTACAAAACCAGAAGATATTCAAGTTATGCTCCTCCAGCAGTATCCATATCTGCAACCCCATCAACTCCTTTGAAGACGACGTGCAATTTTCTCAAACATGAGGTTTTTTGGTCATTCTTGCTTGTCATACCATTCACGTGCACAATGTCTTTGGGCAATTTACCCATGAGGTTAAAAAGAGATAGAGTCAGGTTCGATCGAGTCATTTCTTCCAATACAGGTGGTGCTTGCATATACAGATTCTTTCCTCGATGTGTAACACTTGCTTTTGACAATTGCAATTTAGGGTGTTCTTCTAGAAGATCCATGAACTGCACAAGTTTTGTAATTGATTAAAAACACTCATTACAAGGTAATATAATAAAGAGGCGCTGAAGACTTGATTGCTTGAGCACAACAACATGCAAAGTACCAATTTTGCTGATTTAGAGTCTAAGACACAAAAAACTTCATAGGAGGCAACCATTCTCAATAAAATGAATATTCAATGGGAAAAAAAAGGACCCTTTAAGCAAGAGTTTGAAACAGGAACTATGCTCCGAAGAGTAGAGGAAATATCTCCCTAAATTACAGAAACATGTTGTAGAATGTCAAGGGTCTGCACCTCTAAACCCCAAGACCCCGATTATCTCAGATGAAATTTATGCTTACCTCTTTTTCCCTCCTATTATTTTTACAACGTCATACTTTCCTTAAATACTGATTCAAGAACTTGGCTACTACGCACTAACTAAATGTGTAGGGTAGCTACTAAGTACTAACTAAATGTGTAGGGGGTTATCTAACAAAGCCTCTCAAGCTAGTTTGCAATTTGAATTCCTATCTTTTTCATGTGCCTTGTGCCTATCTCTTGAGTTACAATACACTATAATGATGTCTTTTCAACACAAATCTCCCTCTATGTTCCTCCACGAGATTCACTTGCTTCACACTCAAGAGTAAATTCATAGGGGTTTATGCATCATTGGAGGTTTAAACTTTTGTACTACAGCAGCTCTTAAATCAACCCAAGATGTGGGAACTCCCACATTTGGCTATATGAACCAAGAAAGAGCCATTACCTCCATAACCACCATTACCACTGGCAAACACTCCTATGTGTTTGTCCCTAGAGTCGGTTATGGTTTCCCGTTTTTTATAGATATTCTCTACTTGTGTGGCTAACCCCAGAACCATTGGTTTGGTTCCTCATTCCTAGGAGATGTCGCATAAATACTTCCAAAACATCATCCATCTTCTTCAACAATTATTTCAACACTACCCCTTTTGGCTTGGATCTATCCTCTTCAAACCCTTCTTACTCTTAGTCTCTTTGCTCTTGAATTTTACCATTTTCAGGCTGTTGTAGCCAAGATTCAAACCTACTCTCCAACTACTTGTTAGGATAATAGAAAGGCATTAATAGTTGGAATCATTTAGATCAGTTAGTTAGTTAGTTTGGAAAAACATTTTCTCAATAAGGTATGAATAAAAAATTTCTATAAACTATTACAGCGAGCTCGTGAAAATATGTTAAAAGCAGCTTATGAGCATATCATAAACTATTTTCATAATCTACTCCAAACACTTACATTAGTGTCTATGTCATAAGATAAGTCTAGATAAACTCTTCCAAACGCCTCATACAGGGCCAAGCTCAAGTTATAGAAAACAGGAAGCGTGCGTGCACACAGCCATTTGCTTGCTATTACTGAAGAGCATAAATCAGGGATAATTACACAGCTATTGCCATTAAAGTTGGCCAAAATATCTTTTACATTAATAAAAGATGATGCATGCATACTCTTCTTTGTATTTATCAACAACACAGCCCACCTCTCTAATAATCTCAGCACAACTACTCTATCTAATGCTAACTCCATCAACTTACAGTCCTAACAACTGCCTATTCAGCATTCTATCAATTCCTTGTGCAACCATTAACAACAACAAGGAAAAAAAGGTGTTGAACATAAACTCAATGAAACATTCAAGACTTGACACAAAGCAGTTCTACATCTCCCCAAACAGTGTTTTTGAATTCTACCGAAGAACAAAGGGCCAATGGTGTTGAATTCAAAACAATTTTAAATGCAATACGACAGCTAAGGAAGGCATTAGGGAATGAAAAAAAGCAAAGAGCTGGAAAATTCTGAAAGTAAATAGAAATTTCTAATTATTTTAAGGTCAGTAAGGCTTTAAATTAAGAATAAGCTAGCTAGCAACCAAACAATTTGAAATATGATTTCAAATTTTCAATATGCTGTATCAGGAATGTTTGAACCTCCTAAAGACAAAGAATAGATATCTGATGCACTCCTAACTAGTAAAAAGAATTTGTTGAGTCACTGTTAGAAATTTTACCTTTTGCAATGTGATTGAAGGGTCCAGTTCAATACGTATGCCAGGACCACAAACAAGGCAGTCTCTGTCCCTTTCAAATTCTGTCACTTTAGTGTGGAGGCCTTCTGAACCATTATACCTATATGAGGTGTGAACTAATTAAAAATTCTTATAGGTCAATAGCCAAATACAGAGAAATATAAAAGATAAAGAACAAACGTTAGATAGTTTGACAAAGTTTTGCTGCACTCTGTTGCAATTTTCAATGTTTCCAGTGCACATGCAGCTGATATAATTGCATTTGTTGAAGCTATAGCTGGTATGATGTTCTTCACAACACCCTATTAAAACAATTAATTGCTTAGCAAAAAAGGAAATTGTAATTGATTATCAAGGGAAAACAACAAGTGGCACAAACATTGAACAAATTGTAGGAATTCATCATTGTACATCAAACAAAAAATGAAATTTTGTATGGGAGAACTAGCATCTCAAATCATCTAATTACCTGGGTGAAAGAATAAGTAACTCCAGGAATGCCAAAAAGCTCGGCCCTTTTGACAGCCTATAAAACGTAAATAGTGAAACTTGTAACTTATTGATGGGCCAAAAATGTATATTGAAGAGTAAAGAAACTCATTATAAAATAGAAGTTACCTCGTCATAGACCCATTTCATATTGTTGGGATTATCAGGGTCAAAAGGAACTCCACGATGAACCTATACATCAGACATTGTTTAAAAGAAATGCATCGTAACAAACTAAAACAAAAGATGAATGATCATTTACCTCATCCCATTTAATCAGGTGAGCGTATTCAATACAGTGGGCAGCAGTTCGAGGGGTTTCTGCCAAGGTACATAAAGGAAACTTCACTTGAGGTGGAAAAAGCCATATGGTACACTCAAAGCACGGTGTGATCCCTGGCATTATAACCCTAGCATGGCCCTTGAAACCTTCAGTCCCGCCATCCACCATAGGTTTGATCGTCTCTTCTCGTGGATTATCATCAGAATCATACTCTAGATTTATCAGTCAAAATAAATGAAACCAAAATTAGCACAAGCAGCCTGCAATGCAGAAAACCTCAGGATGGGATGGAAATGAAAAATAACATACTAAGTCCGATAATATAACATCCACAAATGTACTTGTGTAGACCGGGAAGAAACAATAATATAATGTGGTTGTATTACTATTCATACAATGTAAAAACAACCAATACATGATAACAACACGAGTAATTGAAACAAAACCACCATTCCTCAAAACAATAAATCAAAGGAACCGTATAAAGAAAGTACTACTAACAAGTGTAAAAAACTAAAAGATACAGCACACACCTAGAAAACTACAAGCAACATTATTGATGTAGCTGCGGGCCTCAATAGAATCAAGACCAAGTGCAATGATACTAAAATCATTATAAAACTCAATATCCTTATCCTCAATCCTGCAAAAATGTGGCACAATATCCACACCACTAATTCTTTCCATTACGCGCTTGGCAGCTACCTCAGCTTTCGGTTTCCCAACATCCTCAAGTCTACAAACAAACCAAGAATTGCACAAATTACACAAATCAAACAATCACAAAAAAAAAAAATATAAAAAAAACTTCAAAAAACAAGAAACTAAGCAAAAGGGGTTTACCTAAACAAAAATTGGCGATTAAGATTGGTAACTTCGATACGATCCATATCAATAACCTCGAGGTTACAAAAACCAGTTAAGGCTAAATCTTTCAACAATTCGCAACCTAACCCACCTGCCCCAACCACCAACACTTTGGCGAAAGCTTGAAGATCATCTCTCAACTATATCAACAACGATGAAATACGCGTGATGAAACCCTAAAAGAAAACACTAAAGAGTGAAGAAAGTGCGTACCTCTGTGCCAGGTTCGAACCTTGGGCCGACGAGATTTCCGGGTCGGAGAAGGAGCTTATCGAGGTCCCTTGATCGACTTGGTTGTTGTTGTTGAAGATGCACTGAGGTATCTGCCATGGAAAGTGAGGTTTTGAGTTGTGTGAAATTCAAAACCTCGCTAAAGGAAGATGAACGAACCAAAAAGGGTTGCTTCATTTATACGCTCGTTTTTACACCTAAGCTTATTTTTTCTATTGCAAAGTTTTTTTTTTTTATTAATTTGTTTTCGTAATAATTTTAAAGTTCAAAAATTACATTGTGATTTTGTGATTTTACAGTATTTTAAAGTTCAATATTTTACAATATTGTAAAATATTTTAAAGTTTAATATTTTACGATATTTTAAAGCTCAACCTTACATAATTTTATAATATTTTATATTGTGATTTTGTGAAATCTATACCCTTTTCTTTTTTAAAGTTCAAAAATTCTTGGAAATAAAATTCTTTTTTCTTTAATTTCAATTTTGATTTTAGATCTTGATAATGAGATACTTGTAATTAATTAAGGGAGACGTCCTCTTGAAACTAATTTTTTTTTAAGATTTGATTGAGATTTTCAAGTAGTTTGTAAGATTGAGGTTGTTGTCATTGGTGCTCACAAATTTTAGTGAAAAGAATGAGGTGTTTCTCTCCAGATTATCTTGTTAGTTGTTGTACTCCAAAATTTATCCTCCCATTTTTATTCAAGATGTGCTCATTGAGGTCCTTAATTACTCAAGGTTGACCAAGAATTGACCAGACAAATTCTTCTCCTAAACAATGGATTTCCATCTAGGGTTTCATTTCTCATAAAGAACTTTGGTTTGTAGAAGTTTCAAATGATTTCCATGGCACCCTATACGCCTCAGCATAATGGCCTAATTGTAAGAAAGAAAATAAGTATATGTCGAAAGCTGAGAATATGCCTAAGAGCTTTTGGGTCGAAGCAGCTTCGCCAGCAGTATGATGCCCAACGAAGCACTATGATCAAAGGAAGGATAGTACAAAAGAAAGTGTGAGGAGGCTTTTATGAAGTCTTCGATTGGAAGAGCTAGTAAAGAGCGTCATCGAAGGGTTCGTTTTCGAACCATGGAAATGTAAGCTATCTGAAGCATTATAAGGAAAGCACACTTTGATTGCCATGTTGGTTGAATTGGCGCTTCGAAAAGAAGAAGATGTTGAATTTGAAAGCTTTGACCTTATGGTTCGAAGGACATGCATGTACCTGGATAGGCGAGGAAGAAGTTGGATGATTGAAGTGAAGTCTTGGTGCTCATGGGTTACCATTCGATTGGTGCATACAAGTTGTACTCACCAATTAAAGATGAACTAGTGAGCAAGAAAGATTTTCTTGTAGACAAAAGCAAAGGGTGGGAGTTAGAATTGAAGAACCACCTACACAACTGTGTTCGAAGGAAAGAACAAAACGAAGCTTCGACAAGCCAAGATGAAGAGGTGTTCGAATTGAAGGAAAGGAGATCGAAATGAACAAGAACTGAGTTTGATTAGGCTGATTGGATAGTTTTTTCAGATCAATCGACTAAGGCAGATAGTGACTCAATCGAAGAAGCCATAATGATGAGGCCTTGAGCAGTTTGAATTGGAACTCAGAGCCATCGAAGAACAAAGCTTAGGAGCATTCGAAAGAATTAAGATGTGAAAAGTTGAAACGAACACCTAATTGGATGAAACCTGTCCAGGTTCACTCAAAGCCTAAAATGGTAGAAAATCATCAAAATGACAACTTTTTAAATCTTTCGATTTTGCTTTCAGAGCCATGGTTAATGGTTGATTCATGCCATTTTCGTTCACCACCACACCCCTATAAATACAAGACACATATTTCCCATCAACAGACACACATTGCCTATACACAAGGGATTGCCTATCAAAGTTCTACACACAAGAAGCTGCCTCAGAAAATAGATCAAATTCTCAAAATCTCACGAAGGGATCTACATTTGAAACACACTTTGCAGGCTCCTCCAGTCCAAACGAACACCAGCCCTCCTTGACGCTTAAAGCATCCCAAAACTGCAGATCGAAGCATACCGACCATAGGTATAATTTTGAGATTCAATCTTTTGATCTAGGTGTATCTGTGCGTTCTAATGTGTTTGTGTGTGTTTATGATGAAGTGTTAGACAGGTTATAGTCCTCACATGCGAGCCCTAATGTCAAGATAATGACCTACCATTATTAGGGCATTTGAAACGGATTCCTTCGAATCTCAAAATCCAGGCGTCTCTTTCCTTTTGGCTTTTGCAGCGCGTATGTGTTGATTTTGAATTATATATATATATCTGATTTGTTTTACTAATATAATGTTATGATTTTATTTGTATAAACGAATGAACAAACAACGCAAATGGTAAAAAGGAAGTGTGCAAACGGGGAAGGACCTGGGTTCGATACCCAGGTCTTTACATTTTATTTCTTCCTAACATGATATATGTAGATCCAATACTCCCGGGTCCAACGTGCACACCATGCACCCTCAAGTCATCACCATTTGAACCAGATTTGAAAGCCTCAAATACGCAGCTCACCATACACTCTCAAAAGCTAGCAACATAGGATCCAGCGCAACTCCTGGGTTTCTATTTGCTTGGGGCCCAACAAATTTCAGTTTGCACCCCCTCCTATTTACTTTTGTTGTCTGGCCCATTCACACTTCTTTACTTTGTTATTTTTTTGTTTGATCAACATAAAAATCAGAAGAAAAATATAAGCAACTTAGAGTTAGATTTTATTTTACTTTTAGTAATTTAATTTAGTTAATTATTTTAACTTATTTTCCTCAATTTTAAAATCAGTAGACTTAAGATTTATTCGAATTTAATTCTTTTCATAAAACAAAAAAAAAACAAGCAAAAATATTTTCCTTTTTAAGGTTTAGACGTTTTTTCCATTTCGAACGTGTTTGATATTTCTACTTTATTTTCATATTAATGTATTTGCTTATGGGATGTAATAGATTAACTAGGACTTTACTTTTACTGCTTTTTTATTTTCCCTCATTTTGAACTTGTAAATTCCCCCTCCCTGAAGCCGTGTAATAGTTAGGATTTTACATTTCCGCACTTTTCATTTCTGCAAATTATTAACTGCTTAGATGTATAATTAATAGGGTTGTATGGCAAGAATAAAACAAAACACTAGCAAACCTAATGCAAAAGACTAAAATAACTGAATACAACACAATTGCACATGCGCACCTCTAGGGTACCCCCATTTTGGTTGCCTTTGGAAAAACAATCACATCTCTCGAAACGTGAGAGATTTTAGTGGCTACCCTCCGGTTTAAAGATTATAAGTCCCTCGATGATCCTCTCGATGTTGCCTCGGTATGATCTTAAAACCCTAGGGTAGTTACTAAAGTTTCTTACCCAGTTGCCTTTGTGATTATAAATATCCCTTCGAATGTCCCTCAAACATCCAACGACTAGGGATACCTACTCACTAATAGTAGGATATCATTGTCTAAAGGAAAAGAGGAAAAGAACAATCCTTTTGAGTAGAGTAGATAGCTGTTAGATGCTTGCTCAAATAAATTTTTACACTTACACAAAACAACTTTCAAAAACAACTTTCAAAAACATTTTCAAAAACGCTTTATCAACACTCTCGAGGACTGATACAAGAGTTATCATAAAGCAAATTGCCTTACTATTGGAATTTCAAAAATAATTTTCAAAAAAACACAAAGCACAAGGTATTCCAAAATGAGCTAAGCATCTAAGAGCCCGTAGATAACTACGGATGGAAATGGTGCTAACACCTTCCCTTTCCATAATCTACCCCCTTACTCAAAAAACTATCAAAATGTATTTTTCTGTTCTTTTCACCCCTTCCTTTGTTGGATAAAAGAAAAGCCGGTGGTGACTCTTGCTTAATGCAATATTTGCGAATACAAACGCAAAACCAGTATAACAGTCGGTTCTGCCACCATATCACAGAACTGGCGACTCTACTGGAGATTGTAAAAAGTGGGGTTACCTTAGAGTTTAGTTCATCATTTTAAATGCTTTACATTATGTGCTTTATCTTTGAGGGTTTTTGTTTGGGTTGTTACTAAAAGGTCCTACACCCGGATCTGGGGAACCTTTTAGGTAAGTAACAATAGATCGTGGGGATTGTACAAGGTATACCGACATGGTTGAAGTGATAGCTACATTAGTGTGACACATTTGTTGGTACCGGTAGCCCTTGAGTTTGGTCAAGGAGAATACGGGGCCGTTGTGTGGTGTCGTGAAGCACTAATTGACCTTAGAACCTTTAATTGAACAACTTGGCCATTAGGAAGTAGTGAGATGGCCGACTTTGGTGCAGTTCGAAGTTGATTGATACTCGATACTACGCTCATTGAGATCGGACTTCCGGGATATTTCGGTCGCTAATGAAGAGGCTTGCGCTGAAACAATGCCTAATGAAGAAAGATCAGTGATATTGAGATTCCCTAGAACCCGGTTACTATTACTAGGACAGTTTGAGTCAACTGAAACTTCAAGAGGGTACTTATCTTTAAACCTCATGCAAGCCTTTGAACCTAAGGCTACTTGTGTGCCTTGTCTGCTTTCATTATCTAACAACTTGAACTCATTGCAGGGCTTTGTTTGTACTCCTTGCAGGACTTGTTTGTAGTTATTATCCAATATCTTGGATTTCCTGCAAGACATACTTGTCTTTGTCCCCTTACACTCTTGTTTGGGGTATAACATACACATCATAACATCATGCCATAACATTTCCTTAACCATTTCAAGGATCTCAAGGGTCTGTGATACAGGTCATGATGAACCAAACGTCTAGCAAGGGGATTTATTTTCCTCTATCCAATGTCGCCAAAAGACCAAATCATGATAACTTGAGTCAGAAGCTATGACCCACTAGACATGGTGATCTTGATTCTCGTAGAAGGACGGTTAACCATACGAAAGTTCTTCAATCAAAGTTGCAGTTGGATTCTAACATTTTCTTGTGTTTACCACACAAGATCCTTGAAAACATCACATAAACATGGCATACATATCATTACAAGTTTCAAGGCAGGTTTCTTATCCTTTCGCTGTTTATTTCAGCAAGAAGAAATGGCAC